CGCCGGAGCTCAGCTGCCGCAGCCGCCCCGAAAGCCCTCGGGGACGACCGCCGCGAAGAAAATTGGGCGATCAGAGGCATCCCCGCGCGGCAGATCCCGCGCGGGCTGGAGCGCTCAGCCGTGCGCGCCACAGTGCAGTGGCCTTAGCTGTCCCGGCCGCACCAGAGCCTCAGACCGGCGCGCAGAACGCTGGGGAGCCAGGAGCCGAGCTCGAACGCCGAGATGCGGAGCACCCCCCGCCGGGGTTCAGTGACCCGGGACGCGTCTGCTGAGTTGTGATCAGACCCCAGGCTGGCCACAAAGCGCACAGCTGCTTGGCCCAGAGGGCTAGGACAGAGAACAGATCGCGGCCACCCGCCTCGGTGGCCCGGGACTCGGCTCGATTCGCCGGAGAATGCGCCCGAGGACGACGGGGCGCCGGAGTCGCGGTGGTTTCGACTGTCGAGCGCGAATGGGGGTGCGCTGGAATAAGACAGAGTGATGCGGGGGGGCAACTCGCCAAGCACCAAGATCGCCACTGCCGCTGCGCCCCTCCCAGGACCCGGCGTCGACCAGGATGGCTGCCCCGAGTCATGGGCCGCGGCGGAGCTAGCGCGGAGCGCTCGACTCTTGTGCCCTGTGTCCCGGAGTCGGCCCCGCTCGGGGCCACGAGTCTTGTGGGCGCTGATTCCTAAGGACTACAGCAGCACCAGCTTTCCATTTCTCCCTTCCCTTCCCTGTCCCGCACTCCTCCCCCTGCTCGCTGTTCTTGTGTGTCAGCACTTGGCTGGAGACTTCTTGAACTTGCAGGCAGAATAATTTGCGCTCCCCACTTCACGCCGGTGCCTCTGCCCCACCGGGGCCAGTCTTGTCGCCTCGGATCCCCGCCGCCGCTCCACTCTTCTGCCAGGCCGGACGCTGAGACGCCGTTCTCAGCGCGGAAAGGGGGACTGACCGGTCGGCGCCCGGTAGGAGGAGGAAGCAAAGGAAGGGAGCGGACACCCAGTCCCCGCGCCAGGTCCTTTGGCTAGAGTATTTTCCATGTGGAGGCTCTTTCAATGGACGTGTCCCCGCGTGCTTCTTAGACGGTCTGCGGTCTCCTAAAGGTACAGGACGCGGTCTCGGACGGGGGGGGGGCGCGGCGGGGCGGCAGGGCCAGCGGTAGTTTTGTCTTTCCTCCCGCCCGGCTGCATCGGACATAAACAGCCCCCCTTCATGTCCACGTGCAGCCGAACCCCTTTGGGGTGCCCCCATCCAATAGCTCTCGGCCACCATCCAGTCTCGCCAGCCTGACCCGCTCCCTTCCGCCTTCATTCCTCCCCTCCTTACTGTACTTAATTAGGGCTGTTAACACTTACAAGATCCAAGAAAAAAAAAGAAAAGAAAAGAAAAAGGAAAAACCCTTAGAGAGTGGCCCCTGGGTTTCACCCGTTAGCTGACAACCCGTATGCCTTGCCAGGAGGATTCCTTCTCTCTTCCTTCCAGTTTTTCCGGGAGATCTACTCTCTACTCAGAGCCATGTCCCATTTGGGAAAGCATTAGAAGTTGGGGTTATCCCTGTTTGTTTCCAGAAATGTGAGGGGGCAGTACTTCAGTGCCTCCTTGTTCTGCATTTCTAACAGCTGACACGTGAAGTAATAGATACTAGGCATTTACGTAATCCCAGGGAGATGCTTGTGTATCTTGACGGCACCAGGAGCGTACCAGGGGGTGAGGTGGCTTGTTCTGACACCCTCGAGGTTGAGGCGTGGGCCACAAGTTACAAGTGGCGTTCGAAAGTCGTGGCTTGACTTTGAGTACAGGGTCTGGAAGTTGTAGACTGTATCAGGAAGTTTTATACAGCGACTCTAAGGAAGTCACATGCAACATTTGTCCGTGTTTATAAGCAAGCGAGCGCTGGTCTGTGTTTTGAGATTGTTTAATGGGCACAGGGTGTCAGACCAAGAAATGGTTTCCCCATGGTCCCAGTGATGGCTGTCAGTGCGAGTGTTACAAAAAAGACGGGATAGTCATTGAGGGTAATGAAGGGGACAAAACCCCAAATCTGATGACAGGTTAAGAATAGAATGGGAAGAGTAAGTCATCTGGCTCAGGAACTAGGGACCCTCTATTCCCTCAAACGTCTGCGTTTCAGCCTCTCTGACAAAGCCCTTGCCAGTGTTGGAAGCCAGGTGGGCACCCTGGAAGAGGAGGCAGAGGGGGATGGGGGAGGGGGGTTGGGCGGGGAACTTGGTGACTCACGTCGGCCCTGTCCACAGGTCGACCATGGTGGCCGGGACCCGCTGTCTTCTAGCGTTGCTGCTTCCCCAGGTCCTCCTGGGCGGCGCGGCCGGCCTCATTCCTGAGCTGGCCCGGAGGAAGTTCGCAGCGGCGTGGGGCCGTTCCTCGTCCCAGCCCTCGGACGACGTCCTGAGCGAGTTTGAGTTGCGGCTGCTCAGCATGTTCGGCCTGAAGCAGAGACCCACACCCAGCAGGGACGCCGTGGTGCCCCCCTACATGCTGGACTTGTACCACCGCCACTCGGGCCAACTGGGCGCGCGCGCCTCAGACCACCGGCTGGAAAAGGCAGCCAGCCGCGCCAACACGGTGCGCAGCTTCCACCACGAAGGTGAGGCGCCGAACAAGGAGTGAGAGCGGGGACCCGGGCGAGTCACCCTGCAAAGCCCTTCCCCATAGGACAGACTGCAAACATCCGTAGAGGGACAATTTGGCCAGGGCGCAGCGACGCTTCCACCTCTGCCGCCTCTGTATGGTCCTTTCAGATCCAGGCTTAAAGCATTGCTAATGCACTGTGTGTGGTGGGGAGCCAGGGATTCCCCTTTGCTAAGTCCGCACCCTTTTCCTGGCTTACTGCCAGAAGGGCGACTCCTCCCCCCAGCAACTAGAGAGAAATCAAGTGATGGGGAAGAAGAGGGCAAAAGGCATGCCCCTAGTCAGCTAAACATGCAAGAATGCGGTAAGGGGAGGAGAGGGGGACCGATTGAGATTTTAAGTCTCTTTGGAAGCCCTTGCCCTATAAATCTGCTTCTCCTGTTTAAGCCAGGGTTTCAGGCTAGACAGAGCCAAAGGGAGAATTTTCAGAAATGGTATTTAAAAAATCAAAGCCCAGAGCCCCAAAGTCTTTCTAATTTACAGTTGATATAGGCCTGGTTTGGAAGATTTTGAATCCCTATCTAATCCCCGTGAGAGATCAATTCCACAATCAATCTTATTGTTTCCACAATGACTTTCTTGTTAGTTTGCTTCAGTCTGATACAGGCTCAGGGTAGAAGCAAGGCAAGGCTTCAGATAAAAGGTTTTGCAGCAGCTGCCTGTTTTCCTGCCTGTGCACTGAAATGTGGATTTTTTTTTTTCTTTTATGATACTGAATGTAGTTTGTTAAGGTAGGACATTTCTGCTTGTTTCATCAGAAAGGCATTTAGTGGATTTGAAATGTATTAGAGCAGCTTTTGAGAGCTGCTGTACCTAGGTTCTTAGAGCAATTAGTCAAAAACATGTTCCACCTCAGTTCTTTTTCTGTTTTTCTAAATGCCCCTTTGGCTTCACAAATTCTAAACAGAGCACAGGTTTCTTCAAGTTCTGGAAATAAGTACAAACTTGCATGTCCCAGAGCAGTCACTTGTTAGGATATTGGGAAGTTGGGAATAAAGTTCCCTGTTGCTTACCTTGCTGTACTGAGGAGGTGTATTTCAAGTTGAAATCTACATCAGACATAAACAAATCGGAAATGTCAAGGCCACATATTCTGCCAGTGTGAGTTATGACTTGGGAGAACTCTGGTTGCTGGTGGTAAAAAGCCTTCGAGGCAGGTCACAGAACAAAGTTACTGCTTTATTGAGGCATCTCTGCATTAAAAAGGGAATAGTTGCCACTGAGTCAATTCTAACTCATGGTGATCCCTGTATGTCACAGCAGAACTAAGCTCTGTGGACTTTCCAAGGGCTGATTTTTCAGTAGATTGTCAGACTTTTCTTCAGAGGTGTCTTTGCATCTTGCATCCCCAGTCTTTAGTTAGCAGCTTAGCAGCTGAGCACATTAACTGCTAGTACCACCCAGGGACTCCCATGAAGGGAACACAGAGTTGTTAAATCAACTCATTTGCACACATCTTGGAAGTGAGGTACTCTCTGCTAGCAGAAATCGTATTTGCAAAGCAGTAAGATCTCATTCCACTCCTTCACATTTCAGATTTCACCACTGAAAGCAGAAATTGTCTATCATGTGCAGAAATATTGTCATTTGTGTACATTCTGTCACCCTAACCCTAGGATGATAGTTGAAGCATCCTTTCTAGTTGATGGTGATTAGAAAGGGTTAGAAAAGTGACAAGAATAGCTGTCTGGCTACCTCCTGGAAGTTTAATATAGAAATCTTAAAGAATTTTAATATTTATCTTTAAGGCCAGGAAGATTCTGTGCATCTCTTATAATTTAAAAGGAAGATCATTTTAAGTTACTTGACATTGAAAGTGTCAGTGCCATGATGCTTCACCAGTGAAGTCTGCATATTTCTCATTCTTCCTCCAGAAGTGGCTTGATTAAAACTAAACAGGCTAGAAATTAATTTGAGTGCCCTAGTTCAATTTAAGCATGCTTGACTTTACAAGACAGAATTTGTATCTTTAAAAGGATAAATGGTATACAGACATAGACAGAAGTTACCAACTTGCAGTAAGTTCAGCTCTTTGTGTAACTGGATGACAGAAAAACTGTAATTTTTGCCCCAGTTTTTTTGTTTTGCCTACTATATCATCATTAGATTACATATAGTGCTTTTTTAAGATCTTTTTTTTTTGTTGTGTAACGCAGGATTTGAGTTTCATAAATATCTTTATGCCATGCATCCAGCTAAAAAACCTAGTAAATAATGGGATTAAGATTACTTGCTCAAGAGTGTAATTTGGTTTATGCTTCATTAATGGTATCCCACTGCCAGCCAGTTGTTTCCGACTCATATCGACCCTAGAGGAAAGAATAGAACTGCTCCATAGGGTTTCCAAGGCTGTAAATCTATGGAAGCAGACTATCTCATCTTTCTTCATGAAGCAGCTGGTGGGTTCAAATTAATGACTTTTGGTTAGCAGCTGAATGCCTTCAACATTGGTACCATCTTTTCATTAAATGGTAAAGGCCTCCTATTGTAAGAATTATCTGTTGGCTTTATTTGTGGGTGGGAGCCAGATGGTTTGATAGAATCACTAGACCAGAGATGAGATAAGAGATACCATGATAAAGTTCTTTTCAGCCAGTGTGAAGATAATGGGAACTTACGGTAGGCGATGTGAGACAAAATTATCAGTTATCATTTTTCCTACTGACCTTTCTAAATTGTGGTCTAGTCCTTTCTATGGTAGCTTTTATTTGGGAGAGAGCTCATGCTTTGCTCATTTTTTTTTAAGTCACTGAAAAATGCTTAAACCACACAGGCATTTTAGAATTACTGTTGAGGATACAAAAATCTCTTCTCCAGCTGGAATGAGTGTTTTGTGCTTTGCTGTGGTAAGAAACATTGAAACTGGCTTACTTAATCGGTCCCACAAAAAATCTTTATGCTTTTCTGTCACATCACAATAGAGAAGGGCCACATGCTTGTTCTCCAGTCTCTGAGGGACACTGTCTTACTTTTGCATGAAATAGCTGAATTATTTTCTTCTATGACTAAAGCTTTCAGATAGCACCCACAAATTTAATTATCTTGAAAACATCATATAATAGAAAAGTCAAATGGCCATTGTCCTGCGGAGGAGAACTTTTGCTACAAATTCCCAGTACACCCAAAGGATCTGGGCATAGAGACCTCTGAAACCAGTACTTTTCCTGGTGTCCTTTCCTAGGCCCACAGGTGTTTTCAGTGTGGTTGCAATAAGCCGTTAAGTACCATAGTCATTCTACTTGGAAATGCTCACTGGAGTTGAGGCTTCAGTGCTTGATTATAGTTCCTTGGCACTAATATTTTCTGTTCTACCTATTCACTCCTAAATTCTCTTTTGATTCTTCTTGTTGAATTGTTTTTGTCTTTTAGACTTGCCCTGTGCGTATTTCACTAGGCAGTCAGATGGTAACAAGAGGGAATTCACTCTGTCCTTCCCAGGTATTGTAGTCAAGTTAGTCAGAAGCCAAATGGGTGTTAGTGATGCTGACCGTGCTGTTGCCTTTAGTTGCCACTTCCTTCATTTCTTACTGAAAGATGCCTGATTAGTTTTAACCCTTAGTATTTTTTTTTTTCTCCTTGGTACATCAGTTTTCTGTTACTTTATATTCTAGAATTTTTAGCCACTTTGATTTATTTTAGGGAAGATTTTAGTGATTTCCCAGGACCCTCAGATTTTTGGTTGTGGTTCTAATGGACATTTTCTGACCAAGAAGTGTTGCAAAATTCTCAACAGACCAATAAGTCACTTTCAGCTTAAACTCAGCATACTTTAGGAAAAATAAAGTTGCTGTTGAGTTTGACTTCAGATAATGTTGTTGTCATTAGCGTGTCAGGGTATAACTGTGCTCTGCTTTTTCAGAAGTAGATAGACTGGGATTTCTTCTGAGGCACCTCTGGGTGGATCCAAACCTTTGGCCTATTTGGTTATCACCCAGGTGCATTAACTGTTTGTGCCACCCAAGAATTCCTTAGGGGAAAAGGGAGCCACAGAATATGGTGGTTCTAAACAAGATGTCCCAGAGGAACTGTCTTTTCCGCTCATTTATTTCTGTCCACTACCTGAGTAGTCTGTTTCTATCCTTTCAGTTAGGACAGGATGCAACCCATAGTTTTTAGTGTATTACATATAAATCTGTTCCCTGATGGTGGTAATATTTGCTTGAGTTTGTGACTCCTTCCTTACATTAGGTAAGACACGCTGATGATGCTTAGAAACTTGGCATCTGCTATACTTTTTTCCCTAGTTCTGCTCTTCATTTATGACCTCTGTGACCTTAGGCAAGTAACTTAACCTCTCTGAGCTCTATTTCATTTAAAAAATAAAAATAGTCCATCTCTAATTGGTTTGTGAGCTATTTCCTAGCAAGGCATTCGACCTGGCACATGAAAATCATTCAGCAAACATTAGTTATCATCATCATGAGTTTTTTTTGTTTTTGTTTTTTTTTTTTCCTTAATTTATGTCATATTCTGCCCTTGTCTAGGGAAGAAGAAGACAAAGTGGACACAGACTGGCTAGTTTAGATAAAGGTTGAGAAAATGCAGCCCTATCTTTTGGATTTTTTTTTTTTTTCCCTTTTTCCTTTTATTGTTATGAAAACATACCCGACAAGACATTTGCCAACAGAACAACTTCCACATTTATAGCTTCTTGTTGTTGTTATGTGCCGTCGAGTCGGACCCGACTCATAGAGCCCCCTCCTTGAGTTTCTGAGGCAGTATCACTACAGACGTAGATTGCCCCATCTTCCTTCCGAGGAGTGGCTGGTGGGTTTGAACCACCAGCCTTCTGGTTAGCAGTCAAGTGCCTTAGGCACTACGCTACCAGAGCTTCTAATTTATAGCTTAGGGACGTCAATTACATTTTTCATGTTGCGCCACCATTATTGCTATCCTTTTCCTCTTTTGGATTTTCTGAGGTAGATAAATAGTGTCAATGATCAATTTAAGACTTCATATTTTCTTTTTTTGGAGGAGATTACAGATGTCATCATCACTTTAATTTTCTTTCCCACATTTTTGTAAACACAGCTTCCTCCATTTGGCTAAGGAATCCATTTGGCTAAGGCTTAAGAATTCAGGTACAAGATAGGCCAGAACCTTCAAGTCCCCTGGCAAATTTGGCTTATTCAACAAGGAATATTTACAGACCTTTAACAACTATATAAACCTCCAAAACATAATGTCATGTACTAACATAACATATTTTGAGAAACTCTGATGGCGTAGTACCTAAGGCATTTGATTGCTAACCGGAAGGCTGGCAGTTCAAACTCACCAGCTACTCCGTCAAAGGAAGACTGAATTTACTTCTGTAGTGATACTGCCTCAGAAACCCAAAGGGGGTTGCTGTGAGTTGGAATTGACTCAATGTCAGTGAGTTTTGTTTTTTGGTTATTTCATGCTTGCTGACTTTTTTTTTTTTTTTTTTTTTGTGGAGGGAGGTGCCACAAATAGGGTATATATGCATATTTATTTATAACCTCTCCTTTTTCCTTATATATGTGCATTAATGCCTTGGAAACCCAAGGAGGGGTTGCTATGAATCAAAGTCAACTCGATGGCAGTGAGTTTTTTTTGGTTGCAATTGTGATTTCTCTGGGTACTTTCATTAATATAGCTCTTCCACAAACACCCTGTATAGTTTTTCCTTCCTCTGCTTTTACAGAAAATTGAATGTTCTTAGGTGTTCTGGTATCAGAAGTCTGTAGCTCAGGTGCATGGCAGGCTTTGGGATCATTGAAATCTGTGGGATGATGGCGGATTTTCACCTTACTTCTTTTCCTCTGATAGCTCTTGATTTTGGCTGAAAAAGTCCTTCCAGCAGAAACATCAGAGGGTTCTTGAGAAGAGGGAAGGGAGCCTTAGACACAACCATTGATACTTGTTGGAAGCTACCCAGAGGACCCCTGAATAGATCAACCAGTTGCCTTCAAGTCGTTTCTGACTCATGATGAACCCTGTGTGCGTAGAGTAGAACTGTGTACTATAGAACTTTCAATGGCTGATTTTTTTTTTCTTGTTTTGAGGAAGCAGACTGCCAGGTACCTCTGGGTATACTCAAACCTATCAAGCTATGTTATATTATATTGTTACATGTTGTCGAGTCGGACGGGACTCATAGTGACCCCTCCTCGGGTTTCCGAGGCAGTATCACTACGGAAGTAGATTGCCCCATCTTCCTCCCGAGGAGTGGCTGGTGGGTTTGAACCGCCAGCCTTCTGGTTAGCAGTCCACTGCCTTAGCCACTATGCTGCCAGAGCTCCTTATCAAGCTATAGTCATTTGAATAAGTAAAGCATCCTTTAAGACCTTGCTTGACCCTCAAAAATGTGGTCCACACAGCAGCCACATCACCTGGGTGCTTGCTAAAAGTACAGACCCTTAGGCGCCACACCAGGCCTGTGAATCAGAATCCACAGTCAGTGTCTTGTGCACATTACAGTCTGGGCAGCACTGCATTAAGCCGTTACACCATCATTTGGCATCTTGGAACAAATGCTTCCACTGGGCTTGTGAAGATGACTTGCTTTGATGGTAAAGATTTGCAGGTAGAACCTTTGAATGAAGGCTCTGAACTTAGAGCTGTTTGTCTTGAGGAAAAATGCAACCACCAAATTAATGAAAACATACTCTCCATTTATAATGATGTGGAACTATGGCAAAATAGCTTTTGTTGAGAACTTAGGTTGGGATCCTTTCTGAAGTAGGTACATTTTTTGATAGTGAAATGACAGGATGTGGTAAACTTGTTAGTTATCGTGGAGACCCTGTGTGTGGAGTGAAACTGCTGCATTCGGTTTTCAAGACTGACCTTTCGCAAGCAGATCACTGGGCCTGTCTTCCAAAACGCTTCTGGGTGGATTTGAATTGCTAAACTTTTGGCTAATTGTTGAGAGCTCAACCATTTGCACCATCCAGGAATTACCTGTAGTGAACATAGAAGAAAATAAGCTGAAATAGCTCAAATTCTAGAGCCTCTCACTACCAATTTGATGATGTTGTATCTTGGGTGATTTCCAGTCTTCAAGCATTCAGAATGCTATGTTAATTTTCTCTGCTCCTTAAAATTGAATTTCCAGTATCTTAAATTCCTGTTTTGAAATAATAATGAATGTGAAATGACAATTGTGAAATAGAATGAGATTATTCCTTATTTCATGAATTTCAAGGATATTTTGTAAATTTCCCTTGGTCTATCCTGTATTCTATCATGTTTTTACTATGGTTTCATTGAAAAAAAAAAAAAGACAAAGAAAAGCAGAAGATAGTCATTCTTTTCTTTCTCCTGCAAAACATCTAAAATGGGATTTTGATTATTGAGGTCATAAGGAGGTGAGAGAACAGGCCACAGTAGGGAAGCTATTTTCTTGAGATTGTTTGGCTTTAATTACTACAGTGTCCTAGTACCATTCATACATTTCCAAAGAAATAGATCCCTATAAATACCTTTGTCTCTGGCCTTTTGAGTAAAATAGTAGGGTGTGCTTTGCAAAATGTCATTGTTGATGTTGAGTTTCAGAGTCTTTAATTAGGAAACTGAAATCTGTATATCGAGATTTGTAAATCATCTAAATTGCAGAGTAATGTTTTAGAATAATGCTTAAGGGATTGACATTAAAGCCTTACTTTTTTTTTTTTAAAGAAATGCAATAATTTCCTCAAATCCTCACTCATTAGACCTCTACTAACTACAATACTGAAATTGTTTTTTTTTTTTTCCCTCAAGTCTGAATTCCAGAGAAATGCTTCACCATTTTCCCCATTATTATAGCCACCTGGAAGCAGAGTTCATGTATTAGAGATCAAAAGCATTATAGTGAATTTATGGAATTCTGTTTCATGGTACGCATGTTGACATGAACACATAGAAAAGGAGACTCCTATGTTTATGGGGACATTTTTATTTTCTGGCTACAAACTTTTACATGGGTTAAATTAAAGCCTGAAATGTTAAAAAAAAAAATTCTCATATATAATCATACATAGTTGTCATTACTTACCTCACTGACTGATTTTTTTTTTCTTTTTAAATCTTTTTGTATTATTAGAATCTTTGGAAGAACTTCCAGAAACAAGTGGGAAAACAGCCCGGCGATTCTTCTTTAATTTAACATCTATCCCCACTGAGGAGTTTATCACCTCAGCAGAACTTCAGGTTTTTCGGGAACAGATGCAGGAAGCTTTGGAAAACAGTAGCAGTTTCCATCACCGAATTAATATTTATGAAATTATAAAACCTGCACCAGCCAACTCAGAATTCCCCGTAATGAGACTTTTGGACACCAGGCTGGTGAATCAGAATGCAAGCAGGTGGGAAAGCTTTGATGTCACGCCTGCTGTGATGCGGTGGACCGCGCAAGGACATGCCAATCACGGCTTTGTGGTGGAAGTGACCCACTTAGAGGAGAATCAGGGTGTCTCTAAGAGACACGTTAGGATTAGCAGGTCTTTGCACCAAGATGAACACAGCTGGTCACAAATAAGGCCATTGCTAGTAACTTTTGGCCATGATGGAAAAGGACATCCTCTCCACAAAAGAGAAAAGCGTCAAGCGAAACACAAACAGCGGAAACGCCTTAAGTCCAGCTGTAAGAGACACCCTTTGTATGTGGACTTCAGTGACGTGGGGTGGAATGACTGGATCGTGGCACCGCCAGGGTATCACGCCTTTTACTGCCATGGGGAATGCCCTTTTCCCCTGGCAGATCACCTGAACTCCACTAATCACGCCATTGTTCAGACGTTGGTCAATTCAGTTAATTCTAAGATTCCTAAGGCATGCTGTGTCCCAACAGAACTCAGTGCTATCTCCATGCTGTACCTTGATGAAAATGAAAAGGTTGTATTAAAGAACTACCAGGACATGGTTGTGGAGGGTTGTGGGTGTCGTTAGCACAGCAAAATTTTATATGTGTGTGTGTGTGTGTGTGTGTGT